CCGGGCATTGTGGCAGGCACCTGTAGTCCCAGCTACTTGGGAAGTTGAGGCAAAGGGATCACTTAAGCCAGCGGTTCTCAACCTGTGGGTCACAATCCACAAAAACTGTATTAAAGGGTGGCAGCATTAGGAAAGTTGAGAACCACTGACTTAAACCCAAGAGCTTGAGATTGCTGTGATCTCTGATGCCACAGAACTCTATGGAAAGCGACAAAGTGAGACTCTGTCTCAAAAAAACAAACAAACAAACAAAAAAAGACCGCTCAAAGAAATTGGGAATTATCCTTAAGATAAAGAGAAATCCCTCTCCACCCACTGGCTTTGTCAGATGAGGCTGTCAAATGAGTTTCTTACCCTGTAACATTAAAGCAGCTTTATTTATTTACTTATTTATTTATTTATTTATTGTTTTGAGACAGGGTCTCACTATGTCACCCTGGGTAGAGTGCCGTGGCATCACAACTCACAGTAACCTCAAACTCTTGGGCTTAAGCGATTCTCTTGCCTCAGCCTCCCAAGTAGCTGGGATTACAGAAACCCATCACAATGCCCGGCTATTTTATGTTGTTGTTCCAGTTGTCACTGTTGTTTAGCTGGCCCAGGCCAAGTTCAAACCCACCAACCTCAGTGTACCTGGCTGGGGCCGTAATCACTGTGCTACAGGTGCTACCTAAAGCAGCCTTAGAAATGGATTAGAATCTGTTTGAAACTCATACCTCAAGGATATTTCAGTTCTAAATATATTGCTGTTCAATAAAATCTATTTATTAATATTTTCTATAAGGCAGGTGTTCTAACTAAGGTTCTTATCTAACATTGGGGAAGACTGGACTTTGGGGAGGTTCAGTGTAACCTCTAAAAAAATGTATAATTGTGAGTATAAAAACATAAGTGCTGTCATCCAGCAAGGGTGACAGCTTCCACCAGAACGCTAAAGTACACATAACTTCCTGAAGTGTTCAATGCTCCTACAATCGGATGGTCATTCAGGATCTGACAATCAATTCTAGCTGGAAGGAAAAAGACCTCCCTTTTAAAAGGCTTGAATTCCTCTCTCCAAGGGGTAAGCCCTAATCCAGCCATGCTGGATATCTGAATATTCACCTGCTAGGACAGTAACCTCCTTCTAGGCCTGAGGAAGGGGAAATAAGTAGGCATAAATGTACATGCCTTGCCAGTGAATTCACTTGGGTGAATCCTGATGAATTAGATGGCCACAATCTTGAATTCTGTTACTGAGGAGCAGTGATTTTCATCTGCTGTGCTCTGAGAAGATCTTAGGTGTGTTGTGGACATTTTTAAAGATCATTCACTAAATTATTTTTGAAAGATGTTCAAAGTGCAGTTAAGTATATTCTTTTTTTTATCAATATAATTTAAATGTGCCGTGGAAGTCTTACTACAGGTTCAAGTGTGCCATGAGATAAAGAAGGTTGGAAAACACTGCCATAGAGGTTCAGAACAGCAGCGATAATAGTAGCTGTTTATTGAACACTTACTAAACACTAGGTCCTAGACCAAAGACTCTTTGAAACATTATATTATTCATGATCACAACACCCCCAGGAAATGATGCCATTATTATTAAGAGGCAGAGGGAAATCCAAGTTCCTCCAGACTGGCTGCCACGGGGCCCTCTATACCCTGTCATCCGCCTGCTTTCCCATGTATTTCTCTTCATCACACAGTAAAAAACGGATCCTGTGAACATGGAGAAGACATTCCATCTTCATTGCTGGAATAACATTAAGATGGCTAAGAGCCAGCACTGTCTTCCCACGTGCATAAGGGTGCTTTGTAAAGATTGACGTATGAAGTTTTAGGGTGTTATGGAAACTAAACACCCCTGTGTTGGCAGCAGAATTCTCTGTTAATACTGGAGAAAAAAATTGTCTCTTATGTCAGTGTAGTTACTATCTTAGATTTCCCCGACCAACGTAAATGTAACTGGGCTCCCTTCCTCCTTTATGTTTTAAGGAATGTTGAGCCTTACTGGGCTCCTTTGTAGACATTCAAGAAAAACTCTCAGACCTGGGATACTTTTCCCTACCCTCACCCAGACTTTCTTGCCCATCTTTATCCCCTGTACATATTCCAGGGGGAAATATCATTTTTATTTGTTTTGTTTGTTTTGAGACGGGTTTCCCTCTGCCACTAGGGCTAGAAAGCAGTGGCATCATCATACCTCACTGCAGCCTCAGCCTCCCAGCCTCCAGCAGTCCTCCTGCCTCAGCCTCCCGGAGTGCTAGGTTACAGGGGCAAGTCACTGGACCTAGCCAATCATTCTACCAGTTTTTGAGAGAGAAGACTGAATGACAATATCTTGGAGTTAAAATATTGCTTTTTCCTGCACTGGATCAAAGGATGGGGTTAAGAGCAGGACCATGTCTAGTTTTATTCCTGAAGATCATCGATCACTATGGTTTGGGGCATGTATTAGAACTACTATATAAACATGTTCTGAGTCCACATTTCATTTATCTCTCAGCAAGCACTGAGCACCCATGTCAGGCCAGCTACTAGTCGGGGAGAACAAGGGAGCAAATTCTCCCCATTCCCCCATTTTAGGATCTTTACCCCTGGGATGCCGAGACAGGAGATGTGAGGAAGAGCCCTCAGGGAGTCTGGGCCATCTTCGGCAAGAACGGTACCAGCAAGAGTGGTGCAGCTTCAGGCCTATTAATCACAAAGCCAACTAGCTTATGCCGCCAAGTATCTGACAGACTCGATATTCAATAGAGAGATTAAGAAGTATGAATGACAGTAAAGTTTTAGTTAAAATAGCCCTGGCCTACCCTGCATCTCTAGAAGGCCTATCTCAGAACAAGAAAGTTTCTTTCAGGTTAGCCATTGTCCTTTTCGTGACCAGCCCAGCCCAGGCTCTCCAGGAGAGCAGGAGCTACGTCTGCCTTATCTCTGGATCCTAAGTGCCTACTATCACACCTGGCATGGGGAAAGTACTCAGGAAGCATTTTGGTTTTTTTGAGACAAAGTCTCACTCTGTCACCCAGACTAAAGTGCAATGGTGTCATCATACCTCACTACAGTCTGAAACTCCTGGCCTTGAAGGATCCTCCTACCTCAGCCTCCTGAGTAGCTGGGACTACAGGGGCATATCACATGACTGACCAGGATTTATTTTTTCCATAGAGATGAGGTCTCACTGTGTTGCCCAGGCTGGTTTGGAACTCCTGGCCTCAAGTGATCCTCCCACCTCAGCCTTCCAGAGTGCTAGGATTATAGGCATGAGGAAGCATTTTTGAATGACCAATGAATGAATGCATGAGTCATCCCTTAACATCATCTCCAGTCAAATGAATGGCCAGCAAAAAGAGAACTCTTTCCTTCCCAGTGATGTCTGTCACCAAAAAAGGATGCCGTCAATCTTTTAAGTGACTAGATTTAAGTTCTATGGTATCCCCCTTAAGTATCCCCATTAAGTTCTTATGGTATCCCCCTAAGTATTAAAAAACAGAAAAAAAGCATGCAGAAGCATTAAGCATATCCACATATTAACCCAAGTTGAAAAGATTAATTCCATATTAAGATGAAAACATGGTTTGAGGGTTTGTTTGTTTGTTTGTTTTAATTTAAAATGCTCGTCAGTGATTTCTTACCTGGAAACCCAGTCCACAGCCAGACCTTGTGGGTTTTGTAGTTTGTAGCTTATGATTGTCTCCCTGTCTGTCTTATTCAGAAACATTCTCTCAATGACTCCCTTCTCTTCATCAATCCAGTACAATCTCTCTTCTACTCGGTCAAAATCTAGCGCCACAGCATTGCCCAGTCCTTGCAGAATGAGGGAGTAAAAGGAGCCATCTACAGTTAGATTTCTCAAATAGTAACGGTTGCTAAAAATGAGATAGGGCTCGATGCTACTGGTCTGCCGGCAGCTCCTTCCATCTGGTTCTCGGATGTAGCCTGGGTCACACTTACAGATATAGGACCCTATTTCGTTCTCACACCTCTGGCTACAGACAAAGGGCCTCTCCTTGCATTCATCAATATCGACACAAGTCCGCTTGTCAGACATCAGCTTGTAACCAGGAAGGCAGGAACAAAAGAAACTGACGATGGTATCTGTGCAGTTGTGATCGCAACCACTACTCGAAGGGTCACTGCATTCATTAATGCCTGTAGGTAAAGACAGTTATCAGCGATCCTAAAATATCAGCAGCCAACCCACCACGATGGCCCAAAGTCAATACTGCTATTGGACACTGCCAATTCTTAATGAATCGTGCAAAAAGAAGACATACGACGGTGACTTCCAAAGGCTGTAGATTATTCACAAGTCACTATTTTTCAATTTCTCCCAAACTTAATCCTTCACCAGTGATTTTCAACAACTAATACAGGAGAGTGGAGAAGAAGAGGACAAGAAAAGAGCCTAGCAAGTGAGCTGATAAATCAGGTTTTGGAGGAAAAAGTAAATGCTCTGATTTGTAGTGTCTTTCATTTCAGCAGTGTGACTCTTCACACTGTGGCCATTCTCAAGCTTCCACAGTGATGTCCCTGAATACAGAGCTGCACAGAGATTCAAACAGTTTGCCTCTCACCAGGTGCAATACATCACCAGGTGAACCTCTGGCTGGTCCTGAGACATGGCCAAGCTCACCCAAAAACTACCTGCAGCAGGGGAAGAGCATGTTCTTCTTCTTAATAATTCTTATGAATAATTATCAATTCAGCAAAGAGCAACAAGCGAAACATCACTTCATGCACTGCACAATCCATGATCCAAATTATGTGTATCAGCCCTACTTCCACTAGTTTACTGTGAAACCCCAAGCAATTCATTTCACCTCAATGAGCTACAAGCTTATTATTTGTGAAAAGAAAAGGGTTTACAAGATCACTAGGACTCTTTCTGGTTGGAAAAATGAATTTTTAGTGGGTGAGAACTTAATTTCTATCTCACTCTGTCATCCTAGGTAGAGTGCCCTGGGGTCATAGCTGATGGTAACCTCAAACTCTTGGACTCAAGCCAACTTCTTGTCTCAGCCTCCTGAGTAGCTAGGACTACAGATGCCCACCAGGAAACCTGGCTAATTTTTCTATTTTTAGTAGAGATGAGGTCTCCCTCTTGTTCAGGCTGGTCTCAAACTGCTGAGGTCAAGCAATCCTCCAGCTTTGACATCACAGAGTGCTAAGATTACAGGGGTGAGCCATTATGGCCAGCATATTAATATTGTTTAGTTAAAGCAAAATGAATTAAAACATAATGATAATTTAGTCCTCAATTAGGACTAAATAGGTGATCCTATCATTTTTCTTATTCAATCGTTTTTGAAACTTTGGTAGAAACTTATGGAAGTTTTCCTTATAGTCGAGCAAATCACTAGTTTTTATATTTTAAAACATATAATTTACAGGTATTATCTTCTCTAAATTTACATAGCCTTTTCTATCTGAGTTTCATTGTCTAGCATTTCATATTTAATGTTGTTTCATGTCTTATCTTTCCTACAGCAATAGAAACCACATTATATACTTCTGGGTCAATTAAACAAATGCATCTAATGGGTGCTGATGACAATGAACCGGTGGAATAAATGAAAAAATAAGATCTCTCCCTCAAAGTATTTAAATTCTTATCACAGAGACAATAACAACAATCCATGAAACAATGGTTTCAAGGATTAAACACCACAAACACATGAGTTGCCAATATTATTAAGTTCAAGATGGTGCTAAGAAAACAGTACTTGCATTATATTATCTATGATGGAAACTCTCCCATTAAATCACCCAAGGAAGGAAATGAAGGATAGTCTGGAGTCTTCAAAGGAGGAGGCTTCAGGAAACAAGTCATTCCAAGGATTTAAAGAGAATCCACACTGTTCTCTTTAGTCTTGGGCACCTTATTAAGCAGGATGTTAAATGATGGCCTGAATGTTTGTTCACCTTTTGCTCTCTCTAGTGACAGCCTAACTGAAGAATCAGTCCATAAATGTTTGCATACCTCCCTTATTACCAAACTATCCTTGCCTTTTGCTATATAAGCAATAGTAATGTTTTCGTAACTCTCTATTTAGGACACAGGAAAGTCATGGTAAGTCATAAAGGGTGGAGAATCAACATTCAGTCTCCTCGTTTCCTTTTCTCAGATCTTCCACCACACTCACCGCAGCCTTTCTCATCACTGTTGTCAGAACAGTCATCATAGTGGTTGCAGAGTTTCTCCATCTCAACGCAGTGCCCGTTGTTGCATCGGAAATAATGAGGGGGGCATGTGGCTTCAGGGGTGTGACACAGGTGGTCCAGCTCATCGGATCCATCCCCACAGTCATTTTCCTCATCACAGACAAAGTCCCGAAAAATGCAGCGTCCGTTCTGACAGGTGAACTGATGTGCTTGGCAGGTCTGGTACAAACAGTCCCTCTCATCACTGTAGTCACCACAGTCGTTGTGCCGGTCACACCTGTATTTAAAAGACCCAGAACCATTCTTGGAGAGGTTGACACCAAACCTCAATCATCACCCATTTGGAGCTTTGCTTCTTCCCTATCCACCTGGATGCCAGGTCAACCCCATCAATAACAAGATCATCAGTGCCCTTAGTCTCTCTCCTCCAGAATCTGTACCTACCTGGCTAATCTTAAACTCTAGAGTAATCCAATGTTTAGCATTCCACACAACTTTCCCAGATACTGGTTGCTACTATTACAAATGTGCTAGAGTTATTAGAAGTAACTGCATTCATTTTTTCTCCTCGTGTACATCAGATCTATTCGTCAGTCAATTACACAGCTTAGGCTATGGCAATATCCTGGGTAGCCATATATTAGAAGTGTCCATACCCATGTGGACATCCCAGGGTGAGTGCTTTGTATTATAAATGGAAAGGTCCTCTACCATGCTACGTTCCCCATTGGAGTAATGTTTGTATTGGCAGTCTCATTCTTGCCATATTTCATCATAATATTCCTGCCATCTACTGTGAGTTATGGTGATGGAAATGAGAACAAAGTAGTAGATAAGCATGGACTATCAGCAAAGGAAGAAGGCACATTGTGATACTAGAAGCTATCTTGGAACCCAACATTCCTGGGCATCAACAGGACAAAAGAGTTTCCTAAAATTCTGTGAGCCAAACTAGTCTTTCTTCTCTACATTATTCCAAGATCCCATAAAACTAATGATGACTGAAGGGGCTTCTCCTGACAGGAACAAAACTCATCTAAGTATAAAAGGAATCTTGGACAAGGCTGGACAAAGTTAACGTATGATAGATAATTCATGCAACAATTTACCAAAGGTGGCATGGGAGCTGGAATAGAGCATTGTAATGTGTTAAGGCACTAAAGGTGAACATGGTCAATTTTACAACTGACCTGTGACCAGGGCTAATCAGTACTACCATCCATAAGCCTAGGGTATTGTCAACATGATTTACACCAAATTGTGTGCATGTACAACTGTGAAGAAAACTATGGGTGAAGCAAATTGGCTCAACCCCATTCCGTCTCCTGGGAGTAAGATGGAATCTTATGTTCAAAAGATTTGAGACACCAGTGCTTTCCTTATTGTAGTTTAGATCCAACAACAAAGAGGGAAAAAGAAGCCAATCGACAAGCAAATCACCAAAATTTCAGGCACCACTGCACTGCAGTGTTCCAGCGAGGTGCTCACTACTCCGTCTTATCACCCGTTTTTTTTTTTTCAGCAGCACCAGTATTGAGCCAAGAGAAAGAAAACTCAATGGGAAAAATGATCTCCTCTCCCACTGAACCAAAGGAGGGTGTACACATTCTGCCAAGCAAAAAAGAGGATACACACTAACAGCATAATTAGTGGAGGCTAGTGGCCACAGAATTTGGGTTGTTTAAAACCCTCTAGCTCAGGTTTCCAGACAAACAGTATTTTCTTCTCTTCTGCCCTTGGCAAAGGCAATTCAGTAAGCTGACAAGGGGGGTGGGGGGGGGAGAGAAGAAAAGAAAAGAGAGAGAGAAAGGCAGCAAAGGAAGGAAAGAGAAAAAGAGAGAAGAGAAGAAAGTAATGACATCAGTAGAAGTCTAGGAGGGCAGGGCTAAGTCAGCTGTGAGAGCACAGTGATGATGAAGGCAGAGCTCAGAAATCTCAGAAAGGGAATAATGAGATAACCAAAAATCTGATCAAAATCAAAACCCACTACAGTTCCAGTCCCTAGAGTCCATGCCTAGGTTTTCAGGCGATATTGACATATAATATTGATGATTTTAACTGTTGACTGAATTCAGAAAAGACTAAGTAGAGGTACAACATGATGGAACTCTTGAGCAGGTAGGGAGAAAATGTACATGAAGGATTATTCACTTTCACTGCAAAAAATAAAAATCTACAGAGCACATCTGAATCAGTGAACTGCAGACAAAGCATATTCAGATGCACCTTCACTGCACAGGAGGCCAGCTCCGGGGTGTCTTTAGACTGTCCATGCCCAGACTGCCTTTCAGCCGTGTCTACCTGGGCCTCATCAGGGCCCAAGTCATCCCACAGGTGCTATTTTAATCTTTAAACCTCTTTAATCTCTTCCTTCTTTGGTTGTGATGCTGAGCCCCTGCTTCTTTTGCAGCCTTCACAGAACATGACTTACCACCTCCATCCTTCCTCAGGACCACCCCCACAAACACCCAGGTCTACACGACACCGTATTCCAGGGTACCTTGGCACCCGCTGATGGGATGCCTGCTCCCAGCATAAGTGGCCCAGCTGCTCAGCTGTTCTGCTGCTCCGATCTCATGCTTGCTTCATCTACCCTTCCCATCTCCTATGCTGGCAGGCCATGAGTTGACAGTTCTGTTGCTCTGTGTGCCTGTGGGGCTTTTAACAGTTTGTGGTGATACCTCTTCTTAGCTCCCACTTCTCAGCTCCCCTACTTTTAATGCTCTAACTATTCCTCTAGTCCATCAGAGTTGAAACTGACAAATCATTCTTCTTCTCTGTCTCCCTTTGTATCCAAAATGTATTAAGTCAAGGTGAGAAAGTGGGGAATTAAGAAAATCTATAAACCATTGAGGTGGTACATTTGGAGAATGAGGTAAGGAATCAAACAACAGATCATTGCCGGGGAGATCTCCCAAACTAGCAGGCTGTGAGCTGAATCTGATCTACACAGTGTTTAAAGAATTCTAGAATTTGTTGCTGGTATTTATTTTATCTATTTATTTATTTTTGAGACAGAGCCTCACTTTGTCACCCTCAGTAGAGTGCCATGGCATCATAGCTCACAGCAACCTCAAACTCTTGAGCTCAAGTGATTCTCCTGCCTCAGTCTCCCAAGTAGCTGGGACTACAGGCATCCGCCACAATACCTGGCTATTTTTAGAGACGAGGTCTTGCTCTGGCTCAGACTGCTCTTGAACCCATAAGCTCAGGCAATCTACCTACCTCGGTCTCCAAGAGTGCTACGATTACAGGCATGAGCTACTGCACCTGGCTGTTGCAGGCATTTAAAATTGGAATATTTCATATAAAAATCCAAATTTCTAACTCCTTTCAAGAATCAAAAAAGAGCATCAGAACATCTGGCCCTCCTGCATGTTAACACTTGCTTCCTTCTTTGAACATACATCTCAGTTCAACTCACTGCCTCTCCCAGTTGTCTCCTTGACCCTGAGTCTCAGTGCCAACCTCTATTGATCATCATGGTTGCTCGGCTACTTTTCTTATAGTAAAGAGAGAGAAATGAATATTTCTTGTACTCATGCCTCTACTTTAAGTGGAAAACTAAGAGGGCTGCCAGCTTAAGAATTTTCTGATATACAGCCCACTCCACCCATTGCCCTGGCACCCTGTACAAGGCCACATGACGCTTTTCACAGGCCCTAGGCATTTAGGTCTTCTTGAGACCCTTCCTCAAGAAAAATACTAAAAATTACATTCACACCTACACTGGTATAAAGCCAGGTATATTAATATTATATGTTAAATACTTCTTTTGACCTAAAGTTTTTTTTTTTCCTTTTGATTTTAAAAGGAATCCAAACTAGGCACTATGGCCCCTGTGCCTAATAGATAAGTCACAGCTACCTGCATGGACATTTTACCTGAAGGAGCTGGAGATACACAATCCATAACTGCAGGCAAACTCGTTTTCAGAGCAGCATGGACACTTTAGCTGAAGGAGCTAGGGATACACAGTCCATAACTGCAGGCAAACTCGTTTTCAGAGCAGCATGGACACTTTACCTGAAGGAGCTAGGGATACACAGTCCGTAACTGCAGGTAAACTCGTTTTCAGAGCAGGAACTCCGGGTGCAGTTCTGACGCTCATCATAGCCATCAGCACAGTCCGCGTCACCATCACAGACCCAGGTCTGGGGAATGCATTTCCTGGCTGGAGGACTGCTATTCACACACCAAAACTCGGAACTTGTGCAGTTACGATTCTCTGAAACCAAAGAACACTAGAATCAGAAATCACATGAGAGCTCAGGGTAGTAGGCAATTCTCTTGCTGTATGTTCCTTAATATTCTGAGGGATGAAAGGAAATGAAAGGAAAACAGGTAGACAAACCCCATTGCTATGGTAACAATAGCTCATAATAAAAATACCTCCCAAAAGTTCCATTTCAATTGCTGTGGACATTGGCTTATTCAAAGCAAGTAATCAATATAATAAAACACCTCATATAGATTTCCATAAAATTAGTGTAAGATCATATATATATTTTTTTTACTTTAGATCTTCAGAAAACCACTCCTGTTTCCTTAATTGAATATCAAATGCCTTACCTGTTGGTAACTTTTTAGTTTACAAAATCTGATCACATAAGCACAATCTGAGAAAGGTATTTTTACACCAATTCTACAGATGAAAAAACTAAACCTCAAAATGGCTAGACAGCTCACAGTCAAAGAATTAGAAGGATATAGAGATAGGGCTTCAAACCTGGCTCTTTTCCCTCTAAATTTAGTGCTTTTTCAACTACAGTACAGCTACCACCCCAAGCAGAATTGGGGTAGATAGGAGAGACGGATATCAAAAAGACTTCCCAGAAACCATGACACTGTGAGGGAAGAGATGAGATGCTGACATAGAATCATTGATTCCCACAAAATAATAAGAAAAGGCATTTTACCCAATCTCATTGCAAATAAATAGGAGAGAACAGAAGGAGGGAGGTCTTGATAAAGAGAGGTGGAAGAAAACTATATGCTACAAACCATGGGTGTGCAACTGTCATCCACCCATTTCAGGGAACAGAGTACACGCAGCACTAAGGACCAGCACCAAAGTCAGACAGCACATGAGGCTGCCATCAGATGTGAACATCAGGGGCCACTGGTTTTATTGTCCTACTCTTCTAAGGCACATTTAGCTAAGAATTCCATACTCTGTGGGTAATGGAAATGGTGTTCCATAATCTCCTGAAGAGGAGTATCAACCCCCTCCCCAAAAAAAGCTTTAAGGTAAGGGTGGCGCCTGTGGCTTAGTAGAGTACTGGCCCCCCTATACAGGAGGTGGCAGGTTCAAACCTGGCCCCAGCCAAAAACTGCAAAAAAAAAAAAGAAAAAAAGCTTTAAAGTGACAACTGAAACTGGAGGCACAGTTTAGCGTTTTGCTGTTAAAGCTACTATTAAGACTGGCAACCAGGTTCTTTTTGTAGGACATTTCCATTAGCCAAATGCAAAAGAATGTACATATAAAGTCATTTTTCATCATTCTAAAGCATTAGTGATATAGATAGAGTGATATCAAGCAATTCCTGAGGGAAGCAACAAAAGGAACATTCTGTCACCGTCCATTCAATTAAAAGAGGCATCTTCAGACTCTCCAAACCCAGAAAAACATCTCTACTTCATTTCCCTGGAATGTGACTCTGCAGAGGAATTAATCGACTTCACGTACCACAGTGGTGCCTTTCATCCTCATCACTCATATCCCCACAGTCATTATCACTATCGCAGATCCAATGTCTTGAGATGCATCTACCATTATCACACTTGAAATCATCACTTGGGCATGTTCGCTCTGGGTGCTCTGAAAAGATAAAAAGCACACTCTGTAAAAAGAATGGTTTGCAGTCCAGAAATCTCAAGAGAAACTGACATAGCACGGATTGTCTAGAAAACCTGAGACAGAGCATTACTTGGTTGTATACATCTGGGCTGG